CTCTACATTTTTCATGTTGTGAGTTTTGCTTGAAAGTCCAGGAATCTGGAGATAGAAAACGCGCGTTTTGTTCATGTTCAAACAGTCTGGAGGTTGAAGAAGCTGCCTTTGGGCTGGGCCTGTTTCACTTTTCTTATTTGCACCATAGTTTTACTTTTAAACCCCCTTGGCCCATTATGCTTATTTTTATGATTTTTTGATCTTTTCTTTTTTGTTCTGACTTATTTATTTTTTCTCATAATATTAAAATAATAAAAATTATTTTTTAAACCATTTTTGTATTTATTAGGCATTTATTTGTTTAAAATAATGTTTGTACATAAATAATACCTAGATATACTTTTATTCAAAAAATACTAAAAATAATGCAAATACATTTATTTTCTGATTTTTGTTTCATTTTATCTTTTGAAAATATTTTATATAAAATATACTTTTTTTCATAAATATTAAATATTATTATTTTGTGCATATTCAATATATTTAATAAATAATACAAATACATACATATATATTAGTATATTTAGGTTAAGAAATACAAAATATATACATTTTTATTTTTATTGATATTTAATATTAAAAATACCTTTCTTACAAATATACTTCATTTTTATTTTATTTTTGTACATAATTAATAAATATTGTACTTATTAAATATTTAATACCTCTTATTTGCAAAATTAGGGTTTTGCCCTAAATACATAAAAACTCCAAAAATTAATTCTTTTTATTTTGTTTATTTGACATATAAAAAACACTTTTTTTTAATACATATAAAAAGCCTTTTTGCATCTTACATATTTATTTTATTTAATTTGTGCAATTAAATACCTTGTAAATCCCCAAATTTTGATGTAATAGTTAGGTTTAAATTCCTTGTCAAAATACCCCCATTTGAACATTTGTATCACCCTTCCCATATATTGTGTTGTAATAACTTAGGAACTTTATTTTTCGCACTTTAAAGCTTTCTAATTATGCCATGCTAGAATTAAGGTTTTGTATGCAAATCAATTAACCAAAATAGTTTGACCTAATTTCAAAGATAATCAAGCATGAAAATGGACAACACTAATCACACTTGCACCCCTAGGGTATTCCACTTGTTGCCTTCAATAATGGGCCATATTGCATGTTAGGTCTCTTTGGGCAAAACAAACAATCAAATGATCATAGTCCCTCGATGACGCTTTCGAAAGTTGCCTAAAAAATGATCAAGTCCCTCCAAGGAAAAATTGCCCAAAGATACTTGGCACCATTGCAATTATGGTCTAAATGATGACCCGCGCCTGTCCCTTTCACATCCTAACACAATATTGTCCACCAAATGCAATGGTGGAACAAAATTGTTAAAAGGGTTAAAAACATAGGAGAAATCTTTGAGAAATTTAGGAGTAGAGAACCTCTTAGTTACTTGAATCAAACTTGCAAAACAAAACACTTGCCTATTTTCAAAACCACACATCACTACACTTTCAAAAAAAACTTTCAAAAACAATGAAAACCTTTTCAAAAGACATACACCTTTGTATACATCCCAACATGGATCATTACAAAGGTTGCCACCACATTGGCCTCTTTTCAAAACATTTTTCAAACCCACACACACAAAAGCACCATTTCAAACAATTGAAAATTAAGGCAAGTTGATCTAAGCAAGTAACTAAGAGCCCATGGATAACCATGGATAGAAAGGGTGCTAATACCTTCCCTTCCTATAATCTACTCCCCGAACCCAAGAAAACATCTCAAAGGTTTTTGCTGTGCTTTTTAACCTTTCCTTAGGATAAAATAAAAAGTCGGTGGCGACTCTTGCTCAACCGAAACATTTGCGAAAACAAATGCAAAACCTCAAGTCAGTTCTCCCACCGTATCACACCGGACTTGGGAAAACTTTAAGATAAGACGGGTGGTATAGTCATGTTAATTTTGAGGGAGTAATCCCAAAAAAGGAGGCATGGGATCCCCCACTCAGTGGAGGCCCCTTTGACTTTAGTTTCGTTTACCGAGTAATCAGGAAGATGTACTGCTTTAAACCTGGGAGCCTGCTGAAACTGAGGACCGTAGAATACCAAACCCGTCTTGGACTTTTAGGTGTAGTGCAGAAGCTATGAGGAGTAATCCGAAAATAGTTGTCACGCGATACTATGCTCGGACGAGTTTTTCTTGAGAATATTACTAATTACCGAGTTAATCGGGAAGTTGGTAATATCTGAAGGAAGGATGTAGACTCTGGGAACCTCTAGAACCTTGTTCGGCAGGTGATAACTTTTAGACAAACATCTTATGGGTAGTACCTTCGACCTCATGCTCGTGACGTTGAACCTATGAACCCTATATGTGTGATCTTGTGTGTGATTGTTGCATCATGCATCCATGCACTCATAAGCATCTTTTGAAGAAACCATATTTCAAGGGATTTAAAGGTTGACTATTTGTGAATATCTCAAGTACTTTCTAACCATGGAAGATAGATGAGTTGATCAGTCTAATTCTCGAGATCGAGTGTTCTGCGGACTTTCGGAAGAAATATGGATCCATTATTCCTCTCATGAAGCTGAAGATGAATGAGGGTATTCTCTCGACCTTGGTCCAGTTCTATGATCCGATGTATCATTGCTTTACTTTTCCCGACTATCAGTTGATTCCTACACTGGAGGAGTATTCTTATCTATTGGAATTACCTGTTACCGATCGTGTTCCTTTCACCGGTTTGAAGGGTGAGCCAAAACCACATGAGATTTATGTTTTGATTCATCTGGGGAAATCTGAGGTGGAAGCCCATATGACTACTAAAGGAGGGGTTAGAGGATTGCCAACTCAGTTCTTACTGGAGAAAGCTCGTTACTTTGCCAAAATAAAGAGTACAGTTTCTCTTGAGGCCATCTTTGCTCTACTTTCTTACGGGTTGTTCTTATTTCCTAATATGGACAAGTTTGTTGACATTAATGCTATCAGGATCTTCATGATTGGAAACCCAGTTTCTACATTGTTGGGTGATGCTCATTACTCTATTCATCTTCGGAATTCTTATCATGAGGGGATGATTATCTGTTGTACGCCTCTGTTATACTGGTGGTTTATCTCTCATATGCCTCGGTCTGATGCTTTTTGGGATGTCAAGAAGGAACCCCGTTGGGATCCTAAGATCATGGAACTTAATCACTCGAATATTGATTGGTATCATCGAGCTTACCAGGATATAGAGATTATTGACAGTTGTGGTAGTTTCCCCAATGTACCTCTTCTTGGTACAAAGGGAGGAATTAACTATAACCCTGTTCTTGCACGACGACAACTTGGTTATCCGATGAGGGATAAACCAAATAGTATTCATTTGAGTATTTTCTTTCTGAAGGAAGGAGAAGACTATAGGGAAGCTAGGGAGAAATTTGTGAAGGCCTGGTATCACATTCATAAGAAGAGTAGGAAGGATTTTGGACCTAGGGGTGTTGTTTCTTTGGAGCCATATCTTCAGTGGGCCTGATCGAGAGCTATTTAGTTAAAGATGCCGTATACCCGGGAGACACCCATGCCTGATCTATTTGTGAAGACCACTCCTCCCTTATTAGATGATCTGGAAGAGCTGCAACTTGATTTAGTTAGGATGCAACAAGAAAAGGATGCTTGAAAGAACAAGTTCCAAACTTTAGAGAGTTCCTATATAGCAGATTTGAAGGAGAAAGATGAATTGATTGAGATCCTTGAGAGTCGAGCGGTAGAGTCTATGGAGAGGCAATGAGATTTATTTTCTCCTAAGCCTCAATTAGGTGCTGATTACTCAGATGATTGGAAGGAGGTTGCCACCGGATATGCGGAGGAAAACCAGAGGTTGAAGGCTCAGATTGCCAGGCTCACGGGGAAGCATCAACGTATAGAGTGATCTCCATCAATTCTATTTATCAGGGTTTTAGATTTTATTTTCATCTTGTACTTGGGATCATTGAAACTTGTAATCCATTTTGGAGTTATTATAATAAAAAAAAATTTAGTATTCCTTTGATGTTTGCAATCTGTCTATAAATCTATGAATCCCTTGAGATATTAAATAAGAAATTAAAAATAATCATGTGCATTGAATATCATGCATCATATTGCACATATTTCTTGCATTTGTTATGCTTATCTAGGTGTCTTACCAAGCTTCTTTACTTCGTTCAGCAAGCTGACTCATCAAGACAACACTCGGGCTAATTTCAAAAAGAAGATGGACAACTTAGAACAAGAGAATCACGAGCTGCGCGAGGAAGTTTCTGCTTTGAAGGCTAGCATGGCCAATCTGACTACTCTGATGGAAGATCTAGTGGCTGCTCAGAATCATCCACCGAGTGCTCAACCTCAACCAACAAGGGCAACTACTGAAGCTCCGATTGTTCCCGTATCTGCTACTCCTGCTGTTGTTAAGAACCACATGCCCCAAGGTTATCCATGGGGAATGCCAGATAATTTTTCACCTGAAGGTTTCAATATTGGTCCTCAAGATACTCTAGTTGTTCAGACTATTGTTACTCCTGCACCTCCTGTGGTGCATACTGCTCCTGCTGCACCTCCTTCGGTGAATATGGTTATGGTTGTTAATGATGATGTGTATCATCCTTTCCCTCCACCAAGTGAAGAGTTGGGTCTTTATGACATAATGGATGATTTTTCAAGAGCAGTTTGACAAGATGCAGAGAGAGATGAAGGCCCTTAGGGGAAAAGAGCTATTTGGGCAGAATGTGAATGAGTTATGTTTGGTCCCGAATGTTAAGATACCTGCTAAGTTTAAGGTTCCGTAGTTTGAGAAGTACAATGGCAACACTTTCCCTCGTGCTCATCTGGTGATGTACGTGAGAAGAATGTCTACCCATACTGATGATCAGCGTCTGCTGATTCACTTTTTTCAGGATAGTTTGATCGGTGTTACACTGAAGTGGTATATGAGTTTGGACAGTGTTAACATCCATACTTTCAATGATTTGGGAGAAGCATTCATCAAACAATACAAATAAAATGTGGACATGGCGCCTGACCGTGATCAGCTCAGGGCCATGGTTCAGAAAGACAGGGAATCATTCAAAGAATACGCACAAAGATGGCGTGAGGTAGTCGCCCAAGTGATTCCTCCCATGGAAGAGAAGGAGATGAATAAGAGTTTCTTGAAGACACTGGGTGCTTTCTACTACGAGAGGATGGTAGCAAGCGCGCCAAGTGACTTTACTGAAATGGTAGGAATGGGTATCCGCTTAGAAGAGGCTGTGAGTGAGGGCCGTTTAACAAAGAGTGAAGGATCTGACGGTGTGAAGAAGCCATCTTATGGGTTTACTAAGAAGAAAGAAGGAGATGAAAATGTTGTTATACAAAAAAGGAGGGTAAACACTCCTAGAAGGAATTATCAGCGTCATCAGCAAGTCGCCTCAGTTACTCCCGTTATGAATGTCGCTCTAACTACCGTTGCTTATCAGAGACCTTCCTAGCAGGGGAATCAAGGGTATAATCAGAGAAGGGAGAATTATGACCCTATTCCCATGATCTATACAGAGCTACTACTGACATTGATTAAGAAGAAGTTGGTTCAAACCCGACCACCTCCCGCCATACCCTCACTATTGCCTTAATATTACAAGGCATACCAAACACGTGCTTTTCATCAGGGAGCACCAGGGAATAATGTTGAGAATTGTTATCCTTTGAAGACAGAGGTACAAAAATTGGTAAAGTATGGTGTTCTATCTTTCAAGGACGCGGGACCTAATGTGAAAGATAATCCTCTACCCAAGCACGGGGGAGTAAATGTTGTGAATATGGTGGCCGGTTGTCCAGTCGACTTTCGGATTTTTGATGTTAATCAGGTTAGAGGAGATTTGGTGAAAATGTATGCAGACCTCTGTGAATTTAGCTACTATACGCATGACCATTCCGGTTGTGCTATTTGCAGTACAAACATACAAGGTTACGATAAGATAAAGGCTGATTTGCAAGAGATGATGGATGAGGGCCTCATCCACATAATCAGGCCTAGGGCAGAGTATGAAGAGGAAGTGAATATGGTTTCTGGATGTCCTGGTGAATTCATGATTTTTGATGTAGAGTATATGAATGAGGACCTTGTACAGTTGCATGCTACCTTCTGCCATACGGCTGGTCAGGTGGAACACCAATATGGATCTTGCCTAGTTTGCTGTCTAGATTCCCGAGGATGTTTAATCGTGAAGAAGGGTGTTCAATTGTTGTTAGACAATGGAACTATCAAGGTAACAAGTCATAGGGATGATTACCATGAAGTTGATATGGTTGAGGTTTGTTTGATTGAAGAAGAGTCCAATGAAGAGTATGCCTCTGCAGATGAGTATTTCTCTTCAGACGAAGACTTGTTTTCTAGAAATGAGTTATTAATGACTGATTATGTTGAAGAGGGGGTAAACGTCATTGTGCCTTGTTTTGGTGCACCCGCCAATTTTGAAGTTGAGTATCATAGCAAGCCAGCTATCACCCCATTGGTGATTAGTTTGCCGGGTCCTATCACCTACAAGTCAGATAAGGATGTGCCTTACAAATATAATTCTACAATCTTAGAGGATGGAGTGGAGGTTCCCATCCAGCCAATGCCTGATGTTGGAAATATAGCTGAAAATAGCATGGTGAACCGCAGCGGTCGTGTGTTTGCACCCGTTATTCGAAGAGATGTTGGTGCTGGAAAGAAATTACTGAGAATGTTGAACCCAAGAAGGCTTTGGGTGAGACTAGCAGAGCTACGTTAGAGAAAGAAGTGGATGATATTTTGAAGATAATCAAGATGAGCGACTACAGAATTGTAGATCAGCTACTGTAGACTCCTTCGAAAATATATATCTTGGCTTTATTGATGAACTCATCTTCTTACAGAGAATCCTTGATGAGGGTACTGGACCAAGCTTTTATGGAGAGTGATATGCCAATAGACCAATTCAACAACGTAGTAGGAAACATTACATCGTGTAATAACCTGAGTTTCTACGATGACGAACTTCCAGATGAAGGAAGGAATCATAACCTGGCCCTCCACATCTCTATGAACTGCAAGAATGATTCACTATCCAATGTGCTAATTGATAATGGATCCGCGTTGAATGTTATACCGAGGAGTACGCTTATGAAGTTGGAATATCAAGGAACGCCTATGCGCCATAGTGGCATCATTGTGAAAGCGTTTGATGGGTCAAGGAAATCTGTCATTGATGAAGTGGACTTTCCTATTCATATAGGACCACATTTGTTTCAAATAACTTTCCACGTCATGGACATTGTTCCCGCTTCTAGTTGTTTGTTGGGAAGGCCATGGATACATGAAGCAAGGGATGTCACTTCAACTTTACACCAGAAGCTAAAGTTTGTACGTGAAGAGAAAGTAGTAATCATAAATGGGGAGCAGGCATTGTTGATATCTCATTTGTCCTCTTTCAGCATTGTAGAAGCGGATGAAGCTACTGTTGGAACCCAGTTCCAAGCCTTATCCATTGACAACATAAGAGGAAATGAGAATTCCATGGTTTCGTTGAAGAATGTGCAACAGGTTGTGCGTAATGGTCATAGTGAGGTATGGGGACAGATCGTGGAACCACCTGTGAACAAGAACAGAGCCGACTTGGGGTTCTCTTTGAATAATTACAAAGGTAATAGCATGAAGCCGAAGTCTGTTTTAGGAAAATATCAAGACATTTTCTGTAGCGCGGGTTATCTTTATCCAACTGTTTCTGGGATCAATGTCGTCGTGGAAGATGAAGCAGAGCAGGAAATGTCAAATTATGTGACGCACAGAGTTAGGGTTCAGAACTGGATCACCATTGATGTTCCCTCTTGCATACATATTTCAAAGTAATTCGCTTTGTTAATCTTTTTGAAAAAGCTTTCACTCTGCCCAAGGTGGAAGTATTAATGTTGTAAGGCTTATCTGTTTGTTGTGATTTTTAAAATCAATAATAAAAGTTGTCTTTGTTTCTCAAATTGTGTCTTTATTTTCTGCTTTTTCTTGGAAAATGGTAATAAAAAAAACCTTTCAAAAATAAATAATAACTAAAATTCAATCTGCATAATCACTTGTTATATGTGCCAGTTTCTAAAATCAATCATAAATCATATGTGCAGATTAATTAAAAAACCCGTTGAATACAATGACCCTGCACCCTCTCCCAACTTTGAGTGTCCTGTGTTTAGGGCTGAAGAAGAAGATTATGATGAGATTCCAGAAGAGGTCTCACGGTTGCTTGAGCACGAGGAAAATGCCATTCAACCATATAAAGAGCCATTGGAAGTGATCAATTTGGGTTCAAAAGAAGATCCGAAGGAAGTCAAGGTTGGAGCATTGCTGCATCCTGATATGAAGAGCAAGTTAATTGAACTGTTGAAAGAGTATGTGGATATTTTTGCTTGGTCTTACCAAGATATGCCTGGTCTAGATACAAATATTGTAGAGCACCATTTGCCGTTGAAGCCAGAATGTCCGCCAATCAAACAGAAGTTGAGAAGAACTCACCCATATATGGTAGTAACAATCAAAGAGGAGGTTCTAAAGCAGATTAATGTTGGTTTTCTTGTGACGTCAGTGTATCCTCAATGGATTTCTAATATTGTCCCAGTACCGAAAAAAGACGGAAAAGTCCGCATGTGCGTAGATTACAGAGATCTAAATAAAGCTAGTCCAAAAGATGATTTTCCATTACCACACATTGATATGTTAGTGGATAGCACAACAAAATTCAAAGTATTCTCGTTCATGGACGAATTTTCTGGGTATAATCAAATAAGAATGGCTCCATAGGATATGGAAAAAACAATGTTTATCACACCCTAGGGAACATTCTGTTACGGAGTGATGCCCTTCAGGTTGAAGAACGCTGGTACAACGTACCAAAGGGCTATGACAACCATATTCCATGATCTAATGCACAAGGAAATTGAATTATATGTTGATGATATGATCGCCAAATCCCAGACTGAAGAAGGGCATATAGAAGATTTGTTGAAGTTGTTTCAGCGTTTGAGGAAGTATCGTCTCCGCTTGAATCCAAATAAATGCACCTTCGATGTTCGATCAGGGAAATTGTTTGGTTTCATTGTTATCCAGAAAGGAATTGAAGTTGACCCTGATAAAGTCAAGGAGATTCAAGAGATTCCAGCACCAAGAACTGAAAATCAAGTCAGAGGTTTCCTCGGGCGTTTAAATAATATTTCCAGATTCATTTCCCACATGACTGCAACATGTGAACCGATCTTTAAGTTGTTAAAGAAAGATCAAGGTTGTGTATGGACGGATGATTGCCAAAGGTAATTTGAAAGTATTAAAGAATATCTGCTTGAACCTCCTATCTTGCTCCCTCATGTAGAAGGAAGACCGTTGATTATCTGACAGTGTTAGATAAATCCATGGGTTGTACTCTGGAACAACAGGATGAAATAGGGAAGAAGGACTTCGCCATTTATTATCTCATTAAAAATTCACTGATTATGAGTCGCGGTATTCCATGATAGAAAAGACATGTTGTACTTTGGCCTGGGCGGCAAAGCGGTTGCGGAAGTATATGTTGAATCACACTACTTGGTTGATCTCCAAAATAGATCCAATTAAGTACATTTTTGAAAAGCCTGCTCTTACCGGGAGAATTTCCCGCTGGCAGATGTTGTTATTTGAATATGATATTGAATACCGCACTCAAAAGGCTATTAAAAGTAGTGTGTTGGCAGATTATCTTGCTCACCAACCAGTGGAGGATCACCAGTCTGTAGAATATGAATTCCCCGATGAGGATGTGATGTTCCTAAAAATGGAGGATTGTGATGAACCATTGCCTGAGGAAGGCCCTGACTCTGAATCTCATTGGAGTATGATATTTAATGGAGCTGTGAATGCTTATGGTAAAGGAATTGGTGCTGTGATCGTCACTCCTCGTGGATCGCACATTCCTTTTACTGCAAGGTTAACATTCGATTGTACTAACAATATGGCAGAATACGAGGCTTGCATCATGGGTCTCGAAGAAGCTATTGATCTCAGAATTAAAATTCTAGATGTGTATGGTGAGTTAGAATTGGTAATAAATCAGATTAAAGGAGAATGGGATACTCGTCACCCCGGATTGATCCCTTACATAGATTATGCTAGAAGATTGTTACCCTTCTTAGATAAAGTTGAATTCCATCACATTCCTAGAGATGAAAATCAAATGGCGGATGCTCTGGCAACTCTGGCTTCTATGTACCAAGTGAATACTTGGAACGATGTACCCTGAATTATGGTTCAACATTTGGATAGGCCCGCTCATGTGTTTACAACAGAGGAGGTAGCAGATGAAAAGCCTTGGTGTTATGATATCAAGCATTTTCTTTAGACTCAGGAATAACCCATTGGTGCGTCGAAGAAAGATAGAAAGACATTGAGAAGATTGGAAGGAAGTTTCTTCCTCAGTGAAAATGTGTTATACAAGAGAAATTATGACATGGTCTTGCTCAGATGCGTGGATAGACACGAAGCAGACATGTTGATGCATGAGATTCATGAAGGTTCATTTGGCACTTATGCCAATGGACATTCGATGGCTAAAAAGATGTTAAGGGCAGGTTATTATTGGCTGACAATGGACTCTGACTGTTACAAATTTGCAAAGAAGTGCCATAAATTCCAGATTCATGCAGACAAGGTCCATGTGCCTCTGACACTTCTCAATGTGATTTCCTCCCCGTGGCCTTTCTCTATGTGGGGTATTGACATGATTGGGATGATAAAACCCAAAGCTTTGAATGGGCACTGTTTTATCTTGGTAGCAATTGACTACTTCACCAAATGGGTGGAGGCTGCTTCGTATGCCAATGTTACTAAGCAGGTGGTTGTGTGCTTCATTAAGAATAACCTTATATGTCGGTATGGTGTGCTGAGCGGAATTATCACTGAAAATGGCTCGAATCTGAACAACAAAATGATGACTGAACTTTATGAGGAATTCAAGATTGTCCATCATAATTTATCTACATACATGCCAAAGATGAATGGGGATATTGAAGCCGCTAATAAGAATATCAAGAGAATTGTCCATAAAATGATTGTTACTTATAAGGATTGGCATGAAATGATCCCTTTTGCTCTACATGGATATCGAACATCTGTCCGCACTTCAACAGGAGCCACCCCGTTCTCCCTGGTGTATGGAATGGAAGTTATACTCCCTGTCGAGGTTGAGATTCCCTCGTTGCGCGTGATAATGGAAACCAAATTGACAGAGGCTGAATGGGTCCAAAACAGGTTTGACCAATTGAATTTGATTGAGGAGAAGAGGATGACAACTTTATGTCATGGGAAGTTATATCAGAAAAGAATGAAGAAAGCTTTTGATAAAAAGGTCAAACCTCGTGAATTCAGAGAAGGCGACCTCATGCTCAGGAAGATCATGTCTTTCAATGTTGATTCTAGGGGCAAGTGGACTTCCAATTTTGAAGGCCCATATGTTGTCAAGAAAGCCTTCTCTGGCGGTGCATTAATTCTTGAAACTATGGATGGCGAGGAGTTCCCACGTCCCATGAATGCTGACGCAGTCAAGAAATACTTCGCCTAAAGAAATAAAATAATAGCTCGCTAAGTTGAAAACCTGAAAGGGCGGCTTAGGCAAAAAGGAGCATCTCGGCAAGCCGAAAACCCGAAAGGGCAGTCTAGGCAAAAATTAGAGATATAAACAGAAAAAAATTCCCGCTAAGTTGAAAACCCGCAAGGGCAACTTAGGCAAAAGTTAGGGAC